GGTCAGTCTGGAAAATCAAGTGAAAGACTTAAGAGGCCTTTTTTTTCAAATCTCACTTTTGGTAGACGAACAAGGTGAAATGATCAACAGCATTGAAATGGAAATCATTAATGCTCAGGATTATGTCCAAATGTCAAGAGAAAAGTTCAGGCTGGCAGCTAAGTATCGAAAAAAGAATCCATGCAAAACATTGTGCTGTTGGTGCTGCTCCTGTTGCAAATGATTTGTCCTCTGGGCAATTAAAACTAAATATTTAATAGGACTGAAGATGTTATAGGGAAAGTGGGTTTGCTGTACTACTAAGAATATGTACAATTTTTTCACATGATATTTGCTTTCCTTAGTTACATGTCTCTAATGCAGAATTTGCTGAGAGAAGAATTCACTATACATTGAAAATAACAAAACGGATCGCATCCAATGTTCACCATGTCCTATTCCTTGCTACAATTGTGAAGAGGGGAATAGTCTTGTCCTTTCTAAATGCTGCTTTAAAAACATGAATGTGACACAAAGGAGTATTATTATCAATGCATTATGATATTACAGCTACCCGTGAAGCAGCTGTTTGAGACAACAGTTACAGGAACTGGGCATGGCTATCTAGTGAAGAGACGGACCAGGGGAGACATGATAGCAGTGTTCCAATATTTGAGGGGCTGTCACAGAGAGGAAGGGGTCAAGCTATTTTCTAAAGCGCTTGTAGGCCAGACAAGGAATAATGGATGGAATCTGAACAAGGAGAGATTTAACCTGGAAATAAGGAGAAACTTTCTGACAGTGAGAAAAATCAACCAATGAAACAGCTTGCCCTTGGAAGTTGTGGGAGCGTCATCACTTGAGACTTTCAAGAAGAGATTGGGCTACCATTTGTCCGAAATGGTGTAGGGTCTCCTGCTTGGGCAGGGGGTTGGACTAGATGACCTACAAGGTACCTTCCAACTCTGATTATCTGTTATCTATTACAAAGGCACAACTGTACTGTCATATTTAATTTTAGTGAAGTTCCCAGAAATTAAATGCAACTTCTTAGCAATTTTGTTCAAATAGTTTGGATAAAGAAAAACTGCAAACCTATTGTAACATGTTAGGATGTACAGGAAGTTTTCAGTTTACTTCCATTTGTTCAGCAACTGTTCAAATTTATGACCTCCAACCTTCAGCCATCTCAGTACCCTTGAGATCATGTGATTACAATCCAAGCAGGCATTTGGATGTCCAGCTCATAGTTATATGTCATTTGATCACGTTTGTGACCTTCCTTGCTATTTTCTCACAAGAAATGTCAATGGGAAAGCTGGCAGAGAAGATTGCAAGTCACCCCAGTAGGATCCCCCAGCTTACCTGCATCCACACGACATGCTCTAAGACTATCCTGCAGTCATAAAAAGCTATGTCATGTGACTGCATTACTTACCGATGGCAATCTCAGTTGCAATCATAACCCCAAGACATGCAGGTCATTAAAAAGCAAGTGGTGGGAGTCCCAAGGCAAGGAGCACAAGGGTGGAAGTGAGGGGAGAGCCTGGGAGGCCCAACGCAGTAGTGCTATGAGAGGCTCGGCGGAAGCTGGGGATGTCTTGAGAGATCGAGCATAAGCTGAGCATGAATTGAAGGAGACACAGTAGGGGTTCATTGCAATCTACATGTGAATTGGGGGAAGCTGGACAGAACTTAGGAAGCCATGTAGGCTGAAAGTGAGCTCTGGAGAATAAGGAGATAATGGCAAAAGCTGCACACATGCAGGGTGGCTTACCCAAGTGACTTGTGACTTTCCCTGCTGCTTCCCCATGAATTTTGTTTGTCAAAGCCTGCCATGAAATGTGGTAAATGGCCATCTTATGAGTACAGGTCTTTGTGACATAATTGTGACCTGGTTCCTTATCACCCAATAGTGGTCATGGGACTATGGTGCTGTAACGGCTGGAACCTTGGGGATGGGTAATATACTTGCTTTTTTCAAGGCTACTATAACTTAGGATAGTGAAAGTTAATGATGAAACCACACACTTAAAACCAAAATCAAGATTATAGACTCAGGCAAGCACACTGCTGCTGTATATTAGATATTCACATTGTACATGGATATCTAATCCTTCACATTAATTAGCATCATGTTACTGATGCTGCTAACTGCCGCAAAGCTAGTTCACCCCCTGTGGTGCACCATGGATGAACTAGCAATCTTAGACTGCCAGAACTACTCTATGGTAAAAAGCACTGTAGACTTCCCTGGCTCCTCATTCTATCCACCTTGGAAGGATGAAAGGCTGAGTCAACCTTGAGCCTGGTGAGACTGCCAAACTGCTGGCAGCCGGTGATTAGCAGAAATAGCCTGCAGTACTGCATTCTAACCACTGCGCCACTGCGGCTTTTATATACTTTGCCTCTAATAAATCACAACAGAATAATCTGGGCAAGTATACAAATATCCGGAAAACAAACCAATGAGTGTGTTAATACTATGTACTAAAAAGGAAGATAGAAATTTAGGCATAATCATGGGTAGTCTTGAGAAATGACAGGCCATAACTATGACTCACACTCCAAAACTATGTATGACCTTGTTTCAAAGTTATGACAGCTGTAGTGCCACCATAGACATTCGCCGTATGACAGATCATAGGGATGCTGCAGCACCCTCCATCTCTCTTTCCCCCTATCCCATCCCGATGGAACTTATAGCATTTGGGCCTGCTCCCCAACGCTCCTGGAAGCAGTCACCATTTTTAGGCCCCTGACAATTCCTTGGTGGCTGCTTTCAAAACTTTGTGCGCCAATCAGCTGGCCAACGTTTATTTGTAAACATAGCTGTGTCTGCCGTTCTCCTAGTACAATGTAAAAAGCTTTTAACCTTTGTATTATCCAAAACTGAGACTTGTTTCAATAGAAAAAAATAAGCGTCAGTAAGCCTACCATCACATACTTTTTTCTCTTAGCAATGGTTTGTGAAGTATGTCACAAAAACTGGATTGACACTTAATATTAAACTATAATCAGGTAATTCTCAGATTATGATGGCAATCGGAACTGGGATTTCCATTGCTAAGCAATGCAGTCGTAAAGCATAATGCCATATGGCTACACCGCTTAGCAATAGCACTTAGACTTATATACCACTTTACAACCCTCTCGAAGTGGCTTACAGTGTCAGCATATTGCCGCCAACAATTTGGGTCCTCATTTTACCTACTTTGGAAGGATGGAAGGCTGAGTCAACCTTGAGCCTGGTGAGATTTGAGCTGCCAAATTGCAGGCAGCCGGGAATCAACAGAAGTAGCAGTACTCCACTCTAACCACTATGCTACCTTGGGTTAGCATCAACAATCCTGGCTATTGTCACGATCCCAGGACCACGTGGGTCGAGTCCCAAGCAAGGAGCATGGGGCCAAGGGAGTATAAAATGCAGCTGTTGGATGTATGGATGTTGTGGACAGTATTACAGAATGTGGGTGGGATTATAAATTGTAAGATATAATTCACCTGAACAGTAACTAACCACAATTTCCTGGGAATGGGAATGTAAAGGATTATCATTTTTTAACAATTATAAGATAACCCATCCCCACCCCAGTTCGATGTCTAGAATCTGTATTTATATATAAGCAATCGTTATTCTAAAACAAGTCTTTCATTCTACCTAAAATGATAGCATTTCTTCTTTTTCTGATAACCTTTCATGCACTACCAGAAAAAAAAATCCTATTTAAATATCAACTTCCTCCACTAACATATAATATAAAAAGCCCTAAAGTCATTAGTTTAGCTTGTGTTAGTTTAAAAAGACAAGATTCCTTTGGTGAATATCTACTGCTTTTAGCCTTCTGGAATTACTGAGGTAGTAAAAAAAAATCTAGACTGGTATAAGGAAAATACAGTTAACATATTATACAGGGTTTTATATTCTGTAAGCCATCTTGAGTCACAGTGTGCGAATAGGCGGCAATATAAATTCCATAAATAAATAAATAAACAAACAAATAAATAATAAGGGCTTGAAATCCTTCTTCATATTGCTGAGCCAATTTTCAGCAACCTCGCCAGCACAACTGCTTTCCTAAATAATTAGTTAATATAAAAAGTTTTCACAGCAAATCATTCAAATTATTTATCAATTCTGATTATTTAAAATCACAATTATTTAAATATTTTCAAACTAAAAACATTTTTCAGACTTAGATTCAAACACATAGGCAAACATTATTAACAATAAGGAATGTCAAATGCCAACCAAAACACTTCAGATAGCAACAACCTATTTGTACATGTAAAAGATTACGTTTATTTTTATGGATACAATGAGTAAATTTTTCTATTGTAAATAATGAGAATTCTTCTGGGATACAAATATTCTCCGGAGCAATTGAGTATTTGGAAATTCTGCAGCAACATGAACTATCTCAATGTTATTACCTGAATTTTCTGCCATATTATAACCAAGAATAAAAGATGAAAGAAATGGAATCTGTAAAACCACAGCAAAATGCAGAAGATAATGTTTTTAAAATATCCTTTTTTTCACAAATGCATTATAAAAAAGTTCAAAATACTGCAACCTTATAAGGCTTTTCTACTAAGAACATTTATGGGAGAATATTATGCATCACAATATTTCTTTGAAAATTCTATCCGATTAGAACTATCTTAACATTTTGTTAATTTTTTTAGTTTGTTTGATAATGTCGGTTCTCAGAAGTTAATAATATGTAGAATGCATCAATTGCACCCTCTTCTGTTGGGCATGCATAGCTCTCTAATGATATTTGTAATAGACCATTTACATTTTAATACTATATCAATCATCAATAGTCAAAAATCAAATAGTCATAATAATCATAATAGTAAAATATTTACTACCATAGAAAAGACTAGCATATAAAAAAGAGTATACAGAATCATTGTGGACTTTATTTATGTAACACAATTTCCCCATTATGTAACAGTAGCACACTCATTTTCAATACATCATATTTAAATATCTTTAAATTTATGTTACTTACACTAATACAGGTTTCCCTGATATCTTGGGATGTCTTAGAACTTCTGAAATTGTTTCTTTTGTCTCTTCCATTCTTTCCACATCACTTGAATCCACAACAAATACTACTCCATAGGATTCAGCATAGTAATTTTTCCAAATGCCCCGGATACGTTTTCCACCTCCCAAGTCAAAAATTGTGACTTCAAACCATCGTTGTTTAAGTTCAATTTTAGAAAAGCCAACTGTTGGAGCCACATCTTCAGGCGATTCTGGTAAAATTGAAATATACTATGAGAGACAGTTAGATGAAACTTGAATAAGAATTCTGATTTATTCTAATAAACTAATAATGTACTGAATTGTTTGAGTATCCCACAGGTACAGTTCAAAGAATAGGCAGTATTGAGTTATTTGTAAAAATAATAAAGGCAAGATACAAGTAAATAAATAAAAAATATTGCCAACATTTTATATTTTCCCCAAAACAATATACAGAGGCAAACAGAACTGAGGGTTAGCAATTATCTGGAGTTGGAAAGAAATTACAAGGCTTCATACTTGTAGAATAAGAATAAAGAAAAGAAGCATGGGGATTACTCCTATATTACACTACTCATAAATTATACAGACATCTAATTGTTATATAATAGTTATATTCAAATTACAAACTGTACTATATGTAAGAATATCTAAACAGCAAGTAAATATATTTCTATATGAAAACAAACAACATTTATTATGACTTGACCTATTATGAATTCGGATATGACCAATTACCCTTCATTAATTCCAAGCTATAATAGAGACCTATACTAATGCTAAATATTTTATTTTACTGTACAAGTAAAATTTTTAATCGTTAGTTTATGAGCATATCAAAGGTAATACTTCTTCCAGAACAACAGTAATATTACAATAAAGCATGCTTTTATTGAAAATGTATTTCAGACTTTCACTATAAAGAATTTTAATGAAACTTGTTAGCCAGGATCTAGAGAATTCCATATGCAGTGTTGATATACTAGGGGAACTGAATGAAGTGGATTTCCCTAACATACATAGACTTTCCTGAGAACAGCCGCTTAAATAAATGGGGCAGATAAGCCTTAGGTGTATATGAGCTCTTTTTAGTCAGTTGATATATTCAGTAGATTTAGGGTATTCTAAGATATCTAAAATATGCACAAGAAACCAATAGACAAGCATACAATTATGCGTATTTCTACCAACCAAAGAAGAGCTAAATAAATGATGTAAGTTAAAATATGAAATCCGTATTATTTTCAGAGATGCTTCCCTGTTTTGGACTGCCATTTGTCAGAAATGGTGTAGACTAGATAACCTACAAGGTCCCTTCCAACTTTGATTAGCTGTTATCTGTCTTTAAATTCTATGGATGGGGATGGTTGTGGTTATACTTTCTTTCTCCCAAAACAATGAGATATTATGTGACTTAACAAAGTAAAACATTACAGTAAGTATCCAATCCTGATTACAACAAATAGTCTAGTTTAAACATGAAAAAATGTTTTAACAGTAATATTTTGAAAATTGTAGATTTAAAAAGAATATGCAACTTACCTCCTTGGATTCCTTTTACTGTTGCAGTCTTCCCAGCATTATCAAGACCCACCATGATCAATGTCACCTTCCTTTGAAATACCAACAAAAAAGGAACAAAAAGGAATTAGAATGTTGTCCTTAAAAAAGCACATATTTAACAACAAATAAATATACTTTCAATATTACTATTCAAAACCAAATAGCAAAGATTCAACAAAGATTTCATCTATTTTACAAAGTGCAGGTAAGTAAGCGGTTTGTAGCAAATTCTAAAACACATGGAAAAATATAGGAAGGGGAAAGGAGCAGCAGAGAAAGACTTAACTCTTATTTCATTAAATGATTTGAAATGCTTATTTCCAGTTTTTGCCATCTAGGCTGAGTTGCTTTTTATAGGATGAGCTACCAAGAGACTCACCTGCTGTCTCTTAACAGTTTATGACTATTTTCTTTTCTATTACTTTTTCAGTTTCCTCAAAAATTTCTCACATAAGCCTTGTTCTCTGTAAACAAGGCTAATGAATAACTGAAGTATGCCTAATGTAAGATTTTTGCAGCATGGCCAACAGAATAGGCAAAAAGCACCAAAAAAATCTGTCATAACCTTAAAATGGATATTATTCTTATGTTTTGTTTCTCTCTGATCTTAAGATGAACTCCCTCGCCCATTCTTATATCCCCCCATATATCAATAACACTTAATGCATCAAATATATATGACATAATTAATTTAAATTAGAGAAAATCTTCCTTTACTTCATAATATTTCAGATAATATTTTGCCTTGGTCTGTTCTATGTAAAAATGAGTTAACTACAGGTCTACATATCTTCATACTTGCTCTACCATCTATAATCTTCAAAGTTACTAAAATGAATATTTTAAAGCCTGGTTATTTACCTGATGGGTTCTCGCCACCGCTTTAGCCAGCTGCAGCAATTGGCCATCAGACTGTACATTCCTTTCCAACAGCCATTCAAAGTACCAAATAAACCGCAGATATGGTATGTTGACTAATTCCAGAATATTCAATGAAGGTGAACTCACAGTTGAAGAGATCAATTTGAATATTGCCTTATTACCAAAATAAAGAAAGGAGAGAGTAAGAATACACAATAAGTTATTGGGAACTTTATTCTTTCAAACTGATTTCACTAAAGAACTACCGGTACTTCTATAACATAGCAAGCACTTTGCTAAATTGAGCCTTTATTTTGTGGAGCCACATTTATTTAAACTGTTGTATTTACAGCAGACTGCAGCACACTCATCTTTTATCCAAGAAAAGCCATTTTTAGATAGTCATGCATATGAAATAATATAGCCATAGTTTTCTACCACATTATTTAATCAGGAAAGAATTGACTGAATATCCAATCAAAAATTGGATTTGTAAAAGTTACATTCAGCAAAAACAGGATATTCCCATAATTCCCAGAATATAAAATATTTTTATTAAAAAGTTAAAACTAAACAAATCAAAGGGAAAAGGAAACTAACACAGGTTGAATAAATGAAAATAGAATAAAAATTAAAAGCTTTCTTCATTGTCAAATGGATAGAAAAGTGGGCCATAAATCCAAAGTATATTATTTAAAAAATAATAATTTACTGTATTCAAAGCAGGCAGGAAAGAATTAACAGTTATTTAAATGCAATAAATACAATATTTCCTAGAATTTTCATACTACAGGCACACTTCTGGGCAAGCACTGACTAGACAACCACTATCAAAAAGACTGGTAACAAGGCAGAATCATCTTACAATCTCCTTAACATAAATACATAATAAAGTAGGTCATTCTATAATAAATGAATTAAAAAAAGAGAGGCACATCATAAAATCATTAACAGTACTATCTGTAAAAAGTATGCATCAAATTGTGACATGTATTATTTGTAAGACACACATGCAATATTGTTTCATTAATATATTATTCAATTAAATCAGATCTGCTGCAGGCTGTAGGCTGCTTTGTAGAATGTACCCAAAAACTTCTAATAGAGCATATGTATGTGGTTTTAAAAAATGCAGTTAAAGATGTAATTAACGGCACTGGAATTAGAACCAGTAATTATAAAAGCAATAGATTTATTTATGATTAAGGAACAGGTCTGAGAGCTTCATGGGTGGCTTTTAAATCGTACCTAAAGTTCATTCTGCAGCTTATTGTCTGATTGAGCCATCTAATTTTTCAACACTACTTCATACAGGCTTAAGTGTTTTATGACACTTTATGTACATCTAATGTAAAGAATACAACTATGATTAATGTATAGATAATTCTGATTCATGCTGCTGACTCTCCTCAAATGCTACAGGCAAAGTCAACTTTCCTTCTTGATAGTGTATTAAACAGCTCAAATAATTACAAAACACTGTAATCCCTTAGACTAAATATGCACACTCCCAAAAAGTGTTTTTGTGAGCTATTATACAAACTTAAAAATAATTGTAAGCTTTGGTGCTATATCACAAAGTCACTGCTTCTGCTTTTATATTCTGCGTTGTGCTGTTCTCTGCAACAAAGCAGAATAAATATTAATTGCATTTCATCATCCATTTTAAATTCCTGTGTCATAAGCTCTAGACATGAGCGTGTTCACACGCGAGACCCACCGACTAGGACAGTTATTCAGTGCCACTAAAACTTTGGGCTGGCGAAAGACTCGTATCAGCGGTGCCCAACAGCCTAGTACTGAACAATTTGGACCGAATTATGAGAACTGCCCTGTTACAGTGATTTATTAGTGCGGCTAGAGAGGGAGAGGGGGAAGGAATGCGCCAAGCCTTCGGCCTGTAACAAGCAGGCCAGGTACCTCCCTCGCCCCCACGTTAAATTAGATTCAGAAAGTTCTCCCGCCCCCGAGGGCCTCCTGACCGTCTTCTCGTCTCCCCGTCGCTGAGAAATCCCATAGTAGCCATAGATTCTCGGGGCGGCACTTCTGCAAAGTCACGTGACCGCGCTTCTTTCGCAGGTTTATCTACGTTATCACGTGATGCTCCCGGAGTATGCTTATTGGCTAGTCTCCGATAGCAACAGTGCGCAGGAAGGACGCGTAACTACGTCGGTCTCCCTTAGCTACGAGTGGGGGAGAGGGAGCGGAGGGGGGGGAAGAGAATGAGGGAGATAAACAGAGACACCGCAAATGAGTAAAGGAAATAGCCAATGAAGGATTCATTGACTGATGGCACCCACCAATCATTGGTCCCGCAAGGAGGCAGGATTTAGTTTCCAGAGTGACGGACGGGCGCCTGGAATTCTTGAATTGGATTGCCGCTTTATTCCCTGTGCGCGTGCGCTCCTGCAAAGTGACTGGGGGGGAGGGGGGACTGTGAAGATTTTTCAAAGCTATGTAGCCAGATTCAATATAATCTCATTCTTAAATAGTGCCAAAAAATACTTTGGTAGTCTACTGCATGATCACAGATCTGGAGAAGTTTAACATTTCCACATGTTTTGCAGAGTTTATGCACCGAAGACAAATTCCTTATGTGTCCAATCACACTTGACCAATAAAGAATTCTGTTTCCTCCTTAGGACAACAAACAGAGTAGGACCTACAGGACTATTGATCCTACCTAGAGTCAAGCACCTTGTAATTCAATAAGACTTTAATCACTTATTTTTGATCCAGTACTAATAAGTGATCCAGAAAAGCACCTTGCTACTTCTACTCTAAAGGAGTCTCATCAAGCAACGTTTTTCTCTTTGTTTTTAATGATTCTAAGGTCTTTGACCAATGTGGGGTCACAAAGAGAAGAGAACTTCTGAAGTAGTTCAGATGTCATTTGAAAAACTGTCCTGATTCCTGTTTTAAGCACCTTCTGATTGAGGGCAAGATTTGTTCTTTTGAATCAGACAACAAAAATAATTTAAGCTACCTTAGCAGTAAGATATCCTTTATTTCCCACCAAAAGCTATCTTGGTAAGACATAATTTACTATATTAGAAATGATAAATGTTTCAAAAATGTATGAATTTTACTTGTTTTGCTGAGTTTCTTCATTTATTTTAGCCAATTTGAAATGTATGTCACCACCACTTCCACTCCTAGCTTGTTGAGGAATTATGACTTACATAATTCTATATGCACTATATCTATTTGGTTTATCTTAAATTTAATTAGAATGTCATTCAAATGGAATCATTTACATGATGGATTGAGATAAAAAAAGCTTGTACATGTATTGTGTCCTCAAGTTTGAACAAATGGATTTCCCTGTGTGGACTGATGTTTTGTTTGGTTTTTATTAAATGGCCTTTGTAAAAACAACTATCCATTCACAATTATCAAATAAGTGTCTCTTATTACAGGAAGTATTTTTAAAAAAATTGTGAGTATATCTGGTCACTTATCTTGGCAGGATTACAAAACTGGTTGCCCTTGCCAATTTTTTTTCCAGTTTCCTAGTGTAACCAACAGAAGTCCCTATTTAGCTTCAGATATCAGCCAAGCTACTACTGCTGAGGCTTTCTGTCAGATGCTAAGAATGAGGTATACACATTAAGTTCCAGTGTTATTGCCCATGTCTAGTCAATTAACAGCCAGCATCAAATTCACACCAGATGAGTGAATGGAATTTGAAAGTTTGGACTTAAATCTTTTGTGGGAATGTAAGGATTCCAGGTTGATAACTATGCTCCCGACTCTGCCTGTCCTTTTCTTATACTTTCTACAGTGATCAGACTTTTAAAGAGGCAAAGCTTCTAATCCATCAAAGTATATGCCAATAAACTGGTTGCTGTTCAAACCTGGCCATCATGGATACAAAAAAAAAAAAAAAAAGGAGCTCCATGCATCAACTATTCTTTTGAGGACCCTCCCTAACCCCCAAAAGGCCCAAAATGGCTGCCTTAAGAATTGCAGATACTTTAGTGACTATTTAACCACACAAAAAAAAAAATATCAAGGGCAACTTCACCAATGGTCATGATTCCTCTAGCTTTTGGAGTGTAACATTGACAAGCAGGTCCATGTAGGACTGCAGCATTGTAACACAAGCCTAGATTTATCTAGATTTTTTTTAGTTAATAGGATTCACTAACAGATGCCACTTAAAATCCCATGCAGATTTCTTTCTTGTTCTTCAATAAGCTATCTCTAGTCAGAATTCAATTGTAATATGTAATTAAAGCCAAGACTGAGCTAGTTAACATAGTAATTCTTTTAAAGTCATACATAGCAATTCACTGATGTTTTTGGAAGATAGTCTTCAAAAGGCTTTATTTGCAAAATTGCAGTGACACGTTTTCCAAAAAATTAAATGCACTACCGATTTATTCAGCAAAAGCAGTTGTCTTGAGATTGCATAAAACAGAGCTGCAGTATCAGCCATAGAGGCTGGGATCTCACGTGCATTAAATTATAGTGGCTTCGTTTCTAGTGCACTGTGCAAATACAACCTCACGGTAGCCAAACGGCAGCTTTGATTTTGGAAGGAGGAACCAGTTGAAGGTGAATGCCCCTTTGTGCGTTATTGGCAACGGGCCTTGGGAAGAAAGCAACCAAAAACGCAATTTCGCCTCCTCTCTGCCCCTTTCTGTCGTACGCACTCACGCAAGGACACAGACACACAGGGTCCTTTTGAGCAAATGGTTAGAGACCAGCCCCGCCGGGAGGTTCAGCAGCTTCTGGGTCAGTGCCATAATGTCCTTCCCTCGGCCTTCCTGTTTACCCACCGCTTGAAATGGACAGTACCGCTTCCAGGAACTGTCTTGCCTTCGAATGAGGCCACCCCCCAACCAGTCCTCGTTTCCCGGCATCGTGCGAACAACCGAACAGCAACTGAGAGCAGATGCCAGCATCCGCTTCTTAGCTCCGAAAGAAATACGCCGACCCAGTTAGCCTACTAACTGTCAACTTCACAGAATGAGATTCCTGGACATTATTTCCCTGCTTATTTACTGCCTCTTTATTACAACGATCGCGATCTCCTCTTCAGAGGCAAGGACGTGTAAGTAAAAATTGGTCTACTTTCCAACTTTCGATAGAGTTCAGTGGGGCTTGCGTTTTTTTAGTTAATTGAGTCCTGTTTTGTGCTGTCTTCCTCAAGCTGTTTTCAGGACTGGAAGAGATTGTAAGGAATAGTAACGGAAATAATTATATACCGACATATTGTAGTGTATAGCCTCTTCTGTGAAAAGAATTCTGTGCCCTTCGAATTCCTAGGGATGCAACTTGATTACTTGTACGTTTACTCAATAAAATAAATATTACGAAGTTTAATGGGACATTGTTTTATTTTATGGCGCTGCTGGCTTAGATGGATGTGGTTCCTTATTGCCAGGAATGTCTGAGTCTTAGAGATTCTGATGTGCCTTTAAATTCTGCAAGATCTGAAATAGCTTTTTAATTTTCACTAAGCAAGTATCTTTTCCATCTCTATAAGCAATCATATTTGTAATAAGGCCAAACTGCAGGAGACTGAGTAATTATCATTGCAATGACAGAGAAAGAGAAATTTCTAAACCCAGCAAAAGAAAGGGGGGGGCCATTGGGGGTATTGTGAAATCATAAAAGTATTAAAAAAAACTACAATCACTTCTGTGATGAAAAGTTTAAACAAGTATTTTATGTAGAGGATGCAAATTGTTTTTTTTTTAATTATGTCTTCCTATAAATACATTTAAATAACACATGCAGCCTATTTAGAGATAAATTACCTTTCATCATTTGTATCTACAGTAAACTTAACTGAAAACATGTTTCTTCCTATCCTCATAACATTGTCTTCTATACATGCCCATCTACACAAGCTTAAACCATGCTTAGCTTTTCCAGAGTCTGGTGGTAAAGTAATGTGTTCTTTATTCACATACAATTAGAGACAGACGCTAGATGTAAAAAAGGTTAGGTTTTGTTATTCATTACCCTGAGGGTAATCAGGTGACTGTGTGGACTTGAAACAGATGCAGAAGAGTTAAGGGGAGCAGATTTCATGTCTGAATACTTTTCTGCTGTCCCTAGGATAGCTGAATAAGCCCTTCAACTTTGCAAGACAGAAAGTTTCAACATATTAATTTTAGGTTAAATTAGGAGATGAAAGCAGATTCATTAGCAGCCCACAGTTTCCCTCATTCAGTGTAATATAGTTTTGCTTGTTTTCCCCTTCCTTATTTCATTCCATAACAATTTTACAAATTAATTACGGAGGAAAAAAGAGAGAAATCCATGGCTTAAGTATGTTCTAGCAAAAGAAAAAAGAGAGAAATCCATGGCTTAAGTATGTTCTAGCAATCTGTATGGAAACTTTCATGTTTAGATACAATTTCAACATATTGAAGGTATGGAACATGTGACCTTTACAGATTTCATGGACACTGAGATACTTCATCCCATTATTTACCAGACTACTCGTAATCTTATGGTAATAAAGGACAAGAAGTCTAACTTCCACTGAACTTCCTCAGAACTGCTTCAGACTTGGCATGTGGGCCTCTTTAGTTACAGACTCTGAGATTACCAAGTTATCAACACAGCTAAATATAAGAAAATGTCCAAGAGAAAACTTTGTCCCCTTTTGTTAATATTGATTGGTAGGTCTAAAGGTGTTGCAGTTATCTTTGTTGCATAAGTCAAATAATACCTTAGGAATGAAGATCAACATCTGTTAAAAGTAAAATCAAACAGATCTTGCTTATTATAAGCCAATTAGCCTGTTGAGTGTTATAAATAAGCTTTAAGCTAGATATCTATGCTGCCTAATTGGCTAGATGAAAACAATATAGGTAAAAGGAAAATGGGGTGATTTTGGATTAAACTCTCATTTGCAGTCTAGGCTATGGACAAGCTGTCTGGAACTACCAGCATGCACAATATGGAATATTAGTGGACAGGGCTGCTGTGGAATACAAGATTCCTCCATATCTGGGATTATCAAGTGGAAAAGGTGTTTGACTTATGGGAATGACTTGCAACCGTGTCTGCCAATTTCCCCATTGATTTGCTTGTGGAAAGCCAGCACAGAAATTCACAAATGGCATGACTGGAGAAGGTGCTGCTATAATTAGAACTTCAAGGACCAAAGGTCATAAATACCATTAATTAAACTTGTCATAACTATGCAAAGTCATTGAATGAGTGGTCATAACTTGAGGACTACTTGTATACATATAACTTAATAATCACAGCTATTATCAGAAGCATATTTTGTGCTGCTTGTTTCATTATTATATTAACTCATTGGTTGAAAATCTTACTAAGCTAAATTTCCAACTTCCTGTGTTGGTGTACAGATTCCTTCTGTCCTCAGCATTGTGACATTTTTAGTTGACTGAAAGGTTTTGTGGCATTGCCAGAGAGCAGCTGGTACAAGTTAACTTGCTTGGATGGATGCTAAAGCAGTAGACCCTAAAGCAACAATCGCCAACCGGTGGGCCGTGAGAAAATTTTGGTGGGCCACAGAGAAATCTCACCCCCAGAGCATCCCCCCAAAGCAATTAATCCAAGCTGTGCAGAAATACAAGGATGCACCACCCCTCCCCACCCACTCACTCCTTACCCAGCAAACTTGCCTGCGAAATTGCTATTTTTCTTTTTCTGACCATCATCTGTTCTGCTGTGCCAGATTTAGATTAGCTAGGAAGCAGAAAATGGTTGGATTTCTCGCTTTCTAGCCAGTCTTTAGATCTTCCCTTAGGACTGAAAGTTTGCTTGCAAGCAAATTCAGTGCAGACTCACGGCAAGCAAATTTGAGAAACTGAGCTAGCCGATGGCAGATAGATAGATCACTGAATGATTCTGTGAGCAACTCAATCTGCCTGCTTTGCCTGATTTTGGGTAAAAATTGCAAAAATAGCTCTTTTTTATAAAAAAAAATCAATATTTTCATATATGGCATGTTGTGAGTTAATTTTGTGAGTTTGCTTGCTAGCAAATTTTATGACTTTGCTTGCAAGCAAATTTTATGTGACAGACTGAGCTAGCTGATGGCAGATAGGATAGATCTCTGAATGAATCTGTGATTGTGTGAGCAACTCAATCTGCCTGCCTGCTTTGCCTGATTTTAGGTAAAAGTTGATCTTTTTTTATAAAAAATTCAATATTTATATAAATATAATATTTACCTACAAGCCATGCCCAGCCGTCACATGACCACCAAGCCACACCCACAAATTAGGCCATACCCACAGAACCAGTTAGTGGTCCCTGGGATCTTAAAGTATGAGTTCGGTGGTCCCTGAGGTCCAAAAGGTTGGCAGCCCCTGCCCTAAAGGATGTAGCTGATTTTACCTTTTCACAAATTATGATGATCTTTTTTAAGGTATTCAATGATCTTGGGAATCAGGTGGCGTTCAGATTTCATAAATAATTGAATACAATAATTGAAACTAAATCCCGTGCATAATAGCATTTAGACACAAGCTTTGAGCTGCTGTTATCATAAACACTATGTAAGCCCAAATTGTTGGGGGCAATATGCTGACTTTGTAAACTGCTTAGAGAGGGCTATAAAGCTCTGTAAAGTGGTATATAAATCTAAGTGATATTGCTATATTCTCTTATCTAATTATAATGTTATGAGAGCACTCATTGGAAAAGAATCTGATGTTGGGAAACATTGAAGGCAAAAGGGGAAGGGGATGGCAGAGGATGAGAGGTTGGATAATGTAATTGATGCAATGAACACAAATTTGAGCAAACTCCGGGATACAGTGGAGGATGGGGAGGCCTAAAGTGTCTTGAAGAGTCAGACACAACTCAGCGACTAACTACAATGGTAAATAGTTTCTACCCATATGGAGAATGTGAGGTATGACATAGAATTTTATATTTGAGATAAAGTAGAAATCTATAATACTACAAAAGTTGAAACAGTAATATTACGGTTGCTAATGATGTAGATAACTTCTGTATCCTTGCTTCCATCTAGTAAAATAATAGGATAAAAATGTACCCTGTTCATGTCCAAATAACATTTTTACATCAAGAAATAAAAAGGAGATTGATTGTACTTCACAAAAACTCATAGGTTGTAATACTTGTATTAAGCTTTAAGGTGCTACATTTTAGATGCACAGATATTCTCCCTCGCCCTCCCTGAGTAACATATGCTGATGAAATTTCTCCTTGGAACATTTAAAAGCTATGGAGTGTTATCAAGATCTGGATTTAGTAACATTAAAGCCTCTCGAGGGATTATGTATGCATTGATTCAAATTCTTTCTCTGAACTTTAGAATCAAAAGGATTTTCTGCTCTGTTGTTTACTATGATAGGCAAAATAACTCACCAAAGGGAGAATTGCTGAAATTCTTAGTTCCTTTCTGCAAGTTTTAGCACTTTCAGAAGAAAAGAGGTATATTTTTGTAACAACAAATAAACAATAAGGTTGCCTGTGTTTTACTGATTTGAAAAATGCACATTCTGCATCTAAATTACTTCATTTGAAACAATGTTTTTTTTTAATCTTAATGCCTGTAAGCAACAGAACTATATAGAAAATAATTATTTCTATTAAAAACAATTTCTAATAAAAGTTACAGACCTCTATATAATTACTAGCAAGTCATACTTTGTGCTGTGTAATACAGCACAAACAAATGCATACATGCCTGAGATGTGATGTGTTGACCTCTCTGACTCCAGAAATGAACGAGTTTCTCTTCCAATAATTGCTCTTTTACCTTTCCACAAGTCTTGGAACAGCCTGTTTGATGAATACTACAACCACCTATTTTCCTCCAGATAAATGCTCCCATGAGTAAAGGGAAGTGGTCATCAGTTTTCCTGCTGTAGCTAAACTGAACACAAGAATGCCTGAGCTCCTTGAAATGCTTTCAAAATGAGAGTCACAGATTCAGTCAGAATTCAAATCTTTATTATGTATATTTTGTTTGCAATAACTAAAGAGGGATTTAGAAAAGGAAAACATAAAAACAAAAACAAAATAGGAATGATAAAGAGATTTTCTCAACTATGGCTTCTTCAGCCAAGAATAAATTTAACAAAATATTTTAAAAGTTTAATAAATACATTATAACTAGATCATTTCATGAGCCGTAGTGACTCAGTAGTTAGAATGCAGTACTGCAGGCTACTTCTGCTGCCTCCAATTTGGCAGTTTGAATTTCCTCAGGCTCAAGATTGACTCAGCCTTCCATCTTTCCAAGGTCAATAAAATGAGGACCCAAATTGTTAGGGGCAATATGTTGAGTCAGTAAAGTGCTTAGAGAGGGCTGTAAAGCACTGTAAAGTGGTATATAAGTCTAAGTGCTATTGCTAAATTCTATTTCTCATAAAACAAAACTTAAGTATTCTACATCTATATACACTATTCCCTAGAGCTGTGGTCTGCAGACCCTTGGGGGACCATGATGTCATCAGAAGATGTCTGCGAAGGCTTGAAGAAATGTTAAGATTTAAATCTTGAGTTAATTCTTGGGGGTCTGTGGCCATGATCCACATTGACTATGCCCAGAAAAAGTACTATCAACAGAAAAATAATGATTGTGATATAGCATACATACAGCATGGTGTTTGGGTTCAGGATTTTTATGCAATAAGGTTTCATGCAAAATTACACTTTTAACACCATGGCACATTTATGACACTTAGTACTCATGTAAACTAACACAAAGGGCTATACACATTCTACTGAAAATGGTGATTGACTATGGCATTTATGCATATAGCAAATTTAAAGACTGCCTGAAGTGCTCTTTTTTAAAAAAAAATCTGCTGAAGAGGGAATGCAGAAGGACATGTCTTAAAGGAAGGAGCATTTGTGTGCAAATAAATTTGGGTATACTTAAAAATAGCAAAATAAGAATCGTATTGATTCAAGAAGGAAAATAAGCCAAATTCATAGTTTGATCTTAACCAAGTGCTATTCATATAAATTATCATAAAAGACAAATGTTTGAGTTCTCTGGCGTTCATCATCACAGAGAGTATTGAAAAAAGCAGAGGTGGAATTCATATAAGTGTTCAAGGAACAGGCCAAAGTCTGCAGGGATTCTTGAGAATAGAGAATGAGCTATATAAAGGAACTACTATATCCACTTCGTAAATTTAAAAATAGTCGCTTATAAGACGTATTCTTAATAATTTAACCTAAAGTAGCTATGGTGAATTTGTGGAATTCTGTGTTTTCATATTTTTTAGTTGACTTAGGAAAAGACACAAGAAAAGGTGGTTAATACAAAACGTTTGCTTTCATTTAGTTTTATCTCAGAATCATGCTTCAGAGTTTTTGGTCAGAAAACGTCGTGCAAATTCTTTTGTGGAAGAAAGCAAGCAGGGGAATATGGAGAGGGAGTGTATTGAAGAATACTGCAATAGAGAAGAAGCCAGGGAAATCTTTGAAAATAACCCCGAAACGGTAAGAGCTCTCTGACCTTTGGTGTTTTGTTTCCCAAAATTAAAATAATCATGGCAGAAAACTCATCCTCATTTTGTCCTAATCATGTTACACAAATGTATCCATTTTTAATATTTATCCTTGTGATATTGGGGTCACCATTGTTGAAGCAATCAAAAGTCATATTTCATTTTTTTCAATTTGAAATTAGCAGTTTCCTTCTTCTTCTTACATTGTTTTCTGTGGATCAGATCTGGGATGTTTCATTGTGATTGCTAGGGGGGAGTTCATGGGGACTGTTGTGAGCCTAGAATGCCCCTTTGGTCCATGGGCAATTTTCTGCAGAGCTGTTCTGGTTCTTACAAACCAGACCACCCATAAGTTCTATGGCATTGCAACGAAATGGGTTTCAGTGAACAGGTTATTATTGTGAAATATCTGAACATTGTTTTTAGTTCATACATTTTCAAAATGATAGTTTGTTACATCCATTTATTTACGTTAAAAAGCACAGATAAGGCTTATAATATTTAATAACATAAAATATAGAAAACTATGTTTTATAACCTTAAAGTCCAGCTATTAATCAAGTCATTATTTTAAACAAACCATATGTACTTCTCATCAATTCATATACATTCTAATTAATTTCTTTTTTTAAAAAACAGGATTATTTCTATCCCAGATACTTAGGTAAGTTTACTTTTTTTAAAAAAACTGTTACATTTAGTAACAGAGGTTTTTTTAATGAAACTTAAAAACATCAACAATTTTTATTGTAGTAAAAATTTGATTATTGAATTATTGATTTATTGAATTAATTAGTGCTGATTTTATGATCCAATTTTTGTTTTTACAGTTCCAGTATTGACTGTTATGAAAGTCCCATGCCTGACACAAAATGGCACCTATATATATTAAGGAAAGAAAAAAGTGTCATATAATATCATTTGTTATCTAGTTGGGATGGCACTGTAGAGTCTGATCTAAAACTACAGTATTTTGGAACACTTGCTGAAACCAAAAGCATATTCTTTGCAATGTGATTCTGTTCATTTCTGTTACAAAAGTTTAGTTAACTCCCATTACTAACTTGTTAATGTATTATTTAATCAACACTTCATTATCTAGTTATATAATTTTGGTTGAAATAAACTATAAAAAAGAATATCTTCTTTATAATTTTATCAGCTTTCTTTATCACATAGAGTGCAGCACAGATATATCCTTGAACAGTTTTATTTTTCTATAATCAAGACTTTTCTTTGTTTCTCTGTTACTTTAATATGGGCACGTATTTCTTCAATATGAACCAATGGCAGTAGCTTAGCAGTTTAATTATATGTCACACTATCACACTAAAACGTAAGCCCTCACAGCAAAGGAAGAGCGCAAATGACTGTGCAGGGCCTGAAAAATGGTGGAACATAGAGCCTAGTACATTTCTGAGCTGAAATGGGCATACCAGGGCCTGGTAGAATTGATGCTGTTCCATGCAACATCTTTGCCTTTGTTACATATTTTGGACAACAAATAGACTCATGCGATTATTTCTATTTTTACAATACTAAATAAATAATACAAATGACAGTCAAAATAGACTTATTTGTATGATTTTTTTTCCCAATAAGAATTAAATTTTCTAGGTATACCCCAAGTAAAAGTAACTGCAATGTTGATTTTTTGTTCCTTCTCTCAATCTGTTGTTTTTGCAGAGATGGGTTAATTATTAGTGGAGACATTAGCATATACAAAGCATGAAGTATCAGGATTATAACAAGGTGTATAGAACAAATGAATAGGCATATAGTTCAAAACCTTCTAATTTATTATAGTAAAGCTAAGAAGGCACAATGAAAAAAAATAAGGCTACTTCCATATATCAAATGGAAGTTATATTTATTCTGCCATCAATTTATATTTTTTGTTCCTTTTTTAATGTTTGATTGAAGTAGAAGGTTAGAAGTGACCCTCTTTTGCATCTCTTGTTCTGGTAACAGCCAGATGTGCTTCAGAGTATTTGCTTTTCACCATGTGAAATTAAAATTATCTGCATTCATAATAAAACTAAAAGATATAATATTGTGTAAATGCTGGCCAAATAAAAAACCCAGCTCAATTTTTACAGAATATAAGAAACTCCCTTTGAACTCCTTGGTGGCCTTGGTTTTGTTATCATTTTTTCAATTCCCTTTTGTCAGAAATTGTCAAAAAACTGACTGAATTGTAGAACAGCATTGTAAATTTCATGGTCCATTAAATCTCAGCATCAAATTGTTCTCTGTAAAGAAAAAAAAACTGATTAAACTTCTTCATTCATTTAAATAATACATTTAAAATGCACATTTCCACAACTTGAATGAGAAGGTATATAGTCCAGGAAGCCCTGCACCATGTGATGTTGTTTTTAGTGGTGATTGCATGTCAATAAGCAGGTGCTTGATGCTTTCACAGACTGTCTGGCTTTATTCAGAACTGGAATTTTCAGAGCGCCATCACTGACTCCAGATTCTCCAGCTGATCTGCGGTCCTGTGTAACAGGTAAGATTTCTTACACATTTTATGCTTTCTGAATTAAGATGGAAACTATTATGTAAAAGAATTGCAATTAGTAATGCAATTGATTGCATCGATATACTGTATTTACCTAGTCCTGTGCAACAGTGGGAAGTATTTATTTTAATATTTATTTTAATACATGCATGAAAAGTCTATGAAAGGTATTGGTGGGGAACAACTTGAGTGAAGTTCTTTTGCTTTTGACTTTTCTTCTTGTAAAGGGTTTGTATCTAATGATGAAATTATATCCTGGTTTTCCTTCATATTACATAAGGAAATTGAAAAGATCCAAAGAACAATTTATATTTTTATTCTTCAGTAACTGTTTCTGTCTTTTATCCACAAGAACAGATAAGGCCTAAAGGGAATCATTTTTAATTGTCTTACCTGAGGACTGGACTGCTGCACTAAAGTTTGTGCAATCTCAAATTAAAATTGTGTTCTTAATTCATTCTTCCTTGATGTGTTCTGTATTGTCATTAAATACTCTGGGGATGGAATCAGTGATAAGCATGCCTGAGCATATTATCTTGCTAAATAGTCTCTAGTGAGAGTCAGTTCTCTGCTTGATGTTCATTTTTTCCTCAATTGTGCTTTGTCATAGCCCAATCTATTGGGACAACAGGAAAAATAAAGCAAACACAAATCTAAGAATTGATTACTAAGGCACCTCTAGCTTAAACATTTTGTAATGAAACAAATTTGCTTGTAGCCTTAGCAGAGCACTTGACAAGTACATTTTGTATGACTCCATGCTGCCGGTTAACACAGACTGAATTCACTGAGCCAAAATGTGGTTTCTTTATTTTCAGCATAATCTACAAATACATTGTGGTTTGATGACTTCTCTAAGAGGAAGGATGTCTGAGAATTCTCTTTCACTCAGCTTTGTCACAAAGGATCCATTAGGCTAAAGTAGCATGGACTTTTTATTTCATTTCTAGCGGGTTTAATCACTAAGACCAGTCCTGGGCAAATACTTATTCATATAATATGTGTTTTTTTTTCAAACTTGGCAACTTAAGATGTGGGGACTTCCATCCCAGAAATTCCTAGCGAGTCAGCAAGTCCACTTACCTCAAAGTTGCCCAGTTTGAAAACATAGATATAAGGTATGTTCTAGCATTCTTTCAGTTCATTTGTTGTACTTTGTAAGGGACTTTGTTGATAAGAGTTTAGGATTTTCACATGAACAGAATGTTTAATATCCTGGTGTGAGATTTGATTTTAAACACCCACAGGCTACCTTACATTACCTAGTTCAAATTGCTAGTTTGGTATATAAAATCTGAAATGATTTATGCCACAAAGGAACTACTTTGCTTATATAATCCTGCTGAGGGAATTCTGCTGTTGATAACTATCATTAATTGAAATGGAGATATCAAGGACAAACAACATCTTTCTTAGTGGTAGCAATTTTGCCTCCCTGATTTTCTCCATGCAGAGGTTTAAACAATTTTTCTGCCAAAACTAGCTAGTACTAGTGAAAAAAGAAAGAAAGAAAACTTTTCTGCCAAACTTTTTGATTAATTGAGTTTATATGGAGAATAAGAACAGATTATTTATTTGGTATTATGTTTTTACTCAATAAAATATTTTATGAGATTTTAAAATGTTAATTTTATAAATTGTGATAATTCTGTAATTACATAGAAAATTTTATAAATAAATTCAGTAAATGGGCAAGTGTTCACTTACAAAGAGATCAGAAGTTTATTCTGCACTGCATCTGAGACCAAGATGAAAGTCCAACAAAAATTTAAATTGCATCTGTAGGACTTTTATCTTCAGTCATTGAAGTCCTTTCTTTTTTAGGATGAAAATGAAGAAACAGAATTAAAAGAGAGCAGTTATAATATTAGCACTTTTCTGATTCTGTAATCTTCCTACAGTAATACCAGACCAGTGTAAACCTTTGCCATGCAATGTGGATGGTTATGAAGAATGCAGAGATGGACAAGCCACATTTACATGCATTTGTAAACCTGGATGGCAAGGAGAGAAATGTGAAGAAGGTATGGTCACTAAACTGATAACAGGGCATATCTTTTCATCATATATTTTCATGTTGAATATACATGTGTCAGTTCAGCATATGACAGTAGATTGTTTTTTCTTCACCACCAGATATAAATGAATGTGATGACCCTATAAATAAAAATGGAGGATGTGATCAAATTTGTGTTAATTTTCCTGGAAGCTACCGCTGTTACTGTGAAGATGGTTATTATATACAGTCAAATAAAATGGGCTGCAAGGGTAAGGAAAAAGTCAGAAAGTACAAATGACAACACACTGGAAACAAAAGCTCAATTTATATTATGAAATAAGACAAAAAGGCCAAATTGTATCAATCATAGTGCCCATGGCTATACAAGCAGATTTCAGTGTAACTTGTTTGAACATTAAATGGGAACATAGGAAACTTTCATATTGAGTGAAACTAAGGTTGTCAACAATAGCACTCCAGCTTTCAGACAAGATTTGTACCAGTCTTATATTTGGAATTACCCTCCATACCCTATCATGAAGCCACGAGCCTTTCTAACTTCTACATCATAAATGACCAAATTCATAAGTTATCCATTAATACAATGAAAAACTAGTATATTAGCATGTTGACATTGCGCTTTAGACAATCTACCACGCTTGCTAACAAATTTAGTCTATACTTACATGAAATTGAATCAGGATCAAAGAAAGGAGAGGGATAACTATATGAGTTCTGGCTTTGATTAAAGATGATTTGCTTACAAAACTTCATTTTCCTTCACCCAATCTTGGGCTATGGATAAGGATAATTATATTGAATTAATACTTCCAAAACAAACCCCTGCTTAAACATAATACTTTCCATACATATAGGATTGTGCATTTTATTATTCTATAGTCCACGCTAGATGATATTAATGGAATTTTAAAAAACCTAACATAGAATGAGCGCATGAAAGAAACTTCTCTTAGACAGTTCATGGAAAATTAAATTAGCAGTAATGTGGAAAATGAGATAACAATCCTTAACAATTACATGAACATTTGAGAATAAAATCCTTACCATTAGTAAAACGTCACATTCTGTTAACTTTTGCATTGTTTGTGTTTTACATATTCATATTTTCCATAATTTCTTGGGGTTAGTTAACATTTGCAGAACTTTTCCATCTTCATTCCATTGTATAAAATTCAACAGAAAAGTAACAATTCCCTTTTTGGAGAAATTAATGCACATTTTATATGTATAGACAGGAATGAATGCATATTTTATCAAAACATTTGTGGAACAGCAAAGTGCAAAAATACACCTGGGAAGTATGTATGTGAATGTGAAACTGGTTTCTTCTACAATTCAACTACAAAGAAATGTGAAGGTATATATATTTATTTTAAATAGATTCCTAAACAAAATACTAATTGGTCTTTTGTAGAGAATTTACTATAATTTTCTATAGAGATAATTGTTATTTTGATTTCGTGTAAGTTTCATGTTATAAAATATATGTTATAGAAATATGCCATGCCTAGGTTCTTATAAAACACACACGTTATTGATATCTAAAATGCAAAAATTAAAATCACACGTACATCAAACATACAGACAGCAGACTATCAATGTTAGGAAATGATGAAATTCTGAGCCAAAAAAAATCATTAAATTTATTTTTCCAAGAGTATTCTTTATTCCTAATTCTTTATGGTACCAGGAATCTCCAGCCTGAGAAAGGCCAAAAGAGAACCTTGTATAAGGGGCATTCTGCCTTCAGAAAAAGCCTTAAAATCTGGCTGTGCCTACTGGCATGGGGTCCTGAAGAAGTTGCTGCTGGTTGGAGGTGGTTGGTACACTAAGAGAAAAGGCAACCCGCATCTCTCTTCCAAACCCCTGTTTTAGCTTGTTTTATTTTTGTATTTTTAATTTTAATTCATTTTTATATTCATAAGTGCTGCACAATTGTTTTGTCTTGATGTAAGCTACTCAGATTTGTCCGAGCTACGAGATTGGCAGCACATAAATTTGATAGACAAATAAGATATTTTTTTAAGTTTTAATGCTGCATTTCACGTTGTCATGTGCCTCTAAATTCTTGATTGTGTTTGGTCAATACAATAAAGAACTCAATTTGCTTCATCAAGACGATATTTTGCCCTGGTCAGCTCACATTTTCTTTCTGGAAAATTATTTTTCAAGGCTTCTCAAATATTCAGAATTTGAATATGTACACATCTATGAATTGAACTGCTTTTTGGTATATAAGGAGAATGAATATATGCAGTATATTACATTCCAAACACTATATATAAGATGTTGTTGATTTAATATGTAATATAATAATAGCATAAAACTCTGATTTGTAGATTATTGAACAATAAATATTTATTATCATTATTTACATTTGTCCATATCCAGCAATTTCCTTAGAAAGAATACCTCAGTTCAGTGATTTTTACTCATTTAGTTAGCCTTTTCCACAGTATTTGTTTACTAATAAATTTTCTAGTTGCTTATTTATTGAGCGAACTTTGAAAAAAAAAGCTTCAGTTATTGTAATTTGGAAACAGCAGTCTTTTCTAAAGCAGTCTATCAGTAAAGGATCTTTTGGATACAATGAAAATAAGTCTTTGAAACATTACAATTTCATTTTAAAAATCATGAAAATGTAGTACTAGAGGCCTTACCAAGATAAATGGATAGTAATGGCATCCTATCAAACATTCAATAAGTCTTTGTTGTTGTTATTATTTTTGGCCTAAAACTGAAAACCTGATATTTATGGCATCAAGTTGATGGCATTTGGTTTAACTGGTAGCTGATTATTTTAAATGCAATAGAAGAGTACCTGCATCCATTTTTTATAAGTCATAAATTCTTAGGTGCCACCTAAATATGCATTTGTGCTATCTTTCAATTCTTCAATTCCATATTATTTATGCATGATTCTCAGAGGTTCTGCCAGTTGATTCATTTTGTCCATTTCCCTGCAGATATTGATGAATGTGCTGAAAACACTTGTTCCCAAATCTGTGTCAATTCTCCAGGAAGCTTCACTTGCTATTGTGATGGCAAGAAAGGTTTCAAGCTTTCCAAGGATATGATGACTTGTGAGGTGAAATATAATTATTTTTATTTTTCTTGATGCAAGGAGACAGCTAAATATCTTTTACCATCCATTTCTGCACTTTATCTTATTTATTGATCTATTCATAACTTTCTCTCTCCCTGTATTCAAAGCAACTTATTTTTATTACTTAGATTTATATTCTTCTTTTCCTCTAAAATTTCAAAACAGGATCCTCTAATTATATCTTATAAAGTCACATTGATTGAGCTGGATGACTTTATTTTATAAATAGATGATTAAAGATGCTCAGATAAAAGGTTAAGATTTCTATGACTAACATTCTAAAATATAGTTTAGATATTGTATTGTCATTAACCATAATAAAATACTGAATAGTTATAAAGTCAGGATTTATTTATTTTATTTATTTATTTATTTTTGTCAATTGCTTACAAGATAATAGGTATAAGTAAAAACATAGTTATGAATACATGGATACATATAAGAAAAATAAAAGAAATAAAAGAAACAATAGGACCTGAGTCCAACTTATAGTCAAAATTAGGCAACCATTATTCATTCTATAAACAATTGGATGGCTTAAAAAAACAATGCAAATAAAGGGTGCTTGATTTAGATTCAGGCCAGGGTACTAGGAAGTAGGATCAATGAAATTTTTAGTTTTTCTGCAACAAGTATGAATAGGAGATATTATAATGATTGTTATTATAATTGACAATATATGGTTAAATGTCTCTTGCCCTGCTTTTCCCTCTAACCTTGCAAATTTTTTTTGAAAACAATGAAAATATTAACTATATGAATGGTTACATACTAATAATAGGCCTCAACAATGGCAGATAGATTTGGAGAAGAGGAGTTTGGAAGAATCATTACCTAATGTTTCTTTTGCCTGTTATTTCTAGACTATACCAAATTGTCTCCCTTTGAATCTTGAAAAAAATTACGAGTTACTTTATCTGGCAGAACAATTCATTGGAATCCCTGTTTTGTATTTAAGGTTTAGATTGCCAGAAGTTACAAGGTAAGTAGATATAAGTAAGCATGTAGATAAATGAAGTTCTTTTGCTTAGGCTATTGTGATGAGCATATGTGATGAGCTCTAGGCAGTTTTATCAATGCTGGTTAATTGTATTTTATTATGTAACATTGTCTCTGGTAGATAAAACAATAAAAAGAGCAAAAACCAAAAATAAAATAGATAAAATAAAACAAATAAAATATAGTTGGCAGCAGCTTTCTTCTTTCCCACCTTACTTCATTTTTTTTTTCAAAAATCAGTAATGCTGTTTAAATATTTTGACACTGTTTTGGACATTGTCATTATTATTGACTTCTTTTTGAATTAGTTTATTTATTTCTAATGCTATCTTTTATTTCAAAAATCATATTCTGTGTCATTGCTTACCTTGCTATGTTTTGTGTGTGTGTTTGTAATTCCTGCTTTAATTTGGGTAGATTTCTGCAGTGTGTGTGTATGTATACACACACACACACACACACACACACACACACAAACACACACACACACACCATCAACTTTTCCATTGCTACATATTTTCCAATTTTAATTTCCCAATCATATATTTACAGCAAATTTCTTTTTTCCGTTGTTGTGTCAAATTGATTCTTGCTGCTGATAGCATACCTCATTTATATTTTCTGGACACATATCTAATAAAAAATGTGATCTTAATTCAATTTTTTTAAAAAAAATTCTGGATGCTTTGGTGCATTTCTTTTTGATACTTTTGAGTCTTTTTACATAATCATTGCATGCAATAAAACGTTCCTTCTTTCTTGTGGCATTTCCAATATTTATCATTGTATCATTTGTTCTGAAAATAATCAACGGAATTATACAGGTAGTCCTTGACTTACAACAGTTTATTTAGTGATCATTCAAAGTTACAACATCACTGAAAAAAATGACGTGATAATTTTTCACACAACCGTTCCTCACACTCATGGTCATGTGATCAAAATTCAGATGCTTGGCAACCAACTCAAATTTATGACAGCTGTAGTGTCTTGGAGTCATGATCATTTTTTGCTACCTTCTGACAAACAATGTCAATGGGGAATCCAGATTCACTTAACAGCGGTATTACTAATTTAACAAGGGCATTGATTCACTTAACTGTGGCAAGAAAGGTCATAAAATGGGACAAAACTCACTTAAATGTCATACTTAGCAACAGAAATTTTGGGCTCAAGGACTGCCTATATATCTTTTGTAAAGGTATTTTACAAATTTTTGATCACATTGTAGCATCGTGTATTTTACTGATTTTTCTTTAGTTCATTATTCCATTGTTATTACAGCTTTAAAATTTTGGACCCATTTTATCATACAGTTTTTAATTTCTGCTGTGTACATTTCATACTTGAATAACAATTTTTAAATACACACTAATAAATTATTTTTGATTGTGTGCATTTCATATTTTATCTTTCTCAGGTCCCTCCTTCTTATTTGAGATCACTTTTTATTTTTCAAGTTATTTGCAAATGCATTAATCATGAAAAATTCTCATGTTCATTAAGCAATTCTTGTTTTATCTTGAGCCATGTATCATATTGGCATAGGTATAACTACATTCTTATGTATATATACAGTCTTCCTGCTGCATACATTTTAGGCTTGCCCTTTTCTCAATTCAGATTTTCTGCAGAATTTGACTTCCGGACTTATGATAAAGAGGGTGTGATACTGTATGCTGAAACCATAAACAGTACAGCCTGGTTTCTACTTGCACTGCGTGAAGGAAAGATTGAAATTCAGTTCAAAAATGAGCTTGGGACAAAAGTAACAAGTGGTGGTAAAGCTATTAATGATGGCTTGTGGCACATGGTAAGTCTTTTTCAGCAAATGAGAACCTGAAAACAGTCTCACTATTGTGAACTGAAAAGCCATATAAATAATCTAAACATATAGAGATAAACAGCTTTATGAAATAAGCCTTTTTTTTAAAGTAATACACTTGTAGTATAATCTGTAACTCTGTTTAAATGAAATAATTGTATGTGTTTTATTATACTTTAAATCATAAGTCAGGATTTCCATCAAGATTTTAAATATAAAAATAATTCAGACATTCATTGCTTATTCTTAGAATTACTTTAGCATTTAAAGTAACTTAAATTAAAGTAATTTAAAGGCTGGATGGAGAGCAACGGGTTGAAACTAAACCCTTGCAAGATGGAGTGCTCTGGGTTTGGGGTTCATTGACAGAGGGGGAATTGCCACCTTTGGCCTTGGATGGGATGGCACTACCCCAAACAACCCTGTGCGTAATCTAGGGGTTTTACTGGACTCACGACTCCTGCTCAAAGAGCAGGTGGCGATCATGACCAGGAAGGCCTTTGCACGACTGCAGGTTGTGCACCAGTTACACCCTTTCTTGGACCAACGGTCCCTACTCACATGCCCTAGTCATTTCCTGTCTTGATTATTGCAACACGCTGTAGATGGAGCTGCCCTTGAAGAACATCCGGAAACTCCAGTTGGTGCAAAATGTAGCGGTCCACATAGTTTTGTGCAGACCCCAGTGTGCACGTTTTACCTCTCCTGCGGGAACTGTACTGGTAGCCAATATTGGTGCAATTCAAGGTACTGGCTGTCACCTTTAAAGCCCTTCATGGCTTGGGACCAGGTTATCTGAGGGAACTTCTCTTACCGGTCACATCTACCCAACCCATTAGCGCGGGGAGGGCAGGGAATGCTGCAGGTCCCATTACTGAGGGAGATAAATCTGGTGGCACCTAGAAGGGCCTTCCCTGTAGTGGCTCTGTCTCTCTGGAACATCATTCCCCCAGAGATTAAAATGCCCCCCTTTTTAATACTCATAATTTTAAATCCCGGAGACTACTAATATGAATTTTGACTGACAGTGGCTTTCTGGCATTGGTGGGATAGAGAGAGAGAGAGAGATCAGGCAGGGGTGGGATTTAGACCCCTGATCTAAAGCTGTCAAAAGTCCAAAAACTGGTCAAGTAGCTCTGGGGAGGCCAGTCATAAATTAGAACACTTGCTAAACAACCAGTCATTAAGTGAGGACCACTTGTATTTGGTTTGCCAGTCACCTGGCCACGCCCACCCAGTCACATGACCAGCAAGCCACGCCTACCCAGTCATGTGACCAGCAAACCACACCCTCAAATTAGGCCACACCCACAGAAATTTGAATCCCACCCCTGGGTGGGGGGCACCAAGGATGAGTTTGTAGCACCAAGGGGGCAGTGGACCGAAAAAGTTTGGGAACCACTGCTGTACATACTTCTCTAAAGTATTTTTCAGAGTCTGAATTAATAACCTATCTACTGAGGACAATAATTAGAAAGTCATTATCTATGCCTAAGTTAACATAAGTGCATGTTGAAAGTTTGGGGATTGATTTTCTCTAAAAAAATATTTGAATTATACCCATTCAAACACCAGCAGTTCTTTGGTAATAACATAACAGTCCAGTTGGTCACAGGTTATGATGGTTATATAATCAAGATATTCTGCAATACTTTTTTGCTTGGTAAAAGTAGAGAGCCCTCTGTACCAGATGCAGTTCCCAATTTCAGCACTTCTCCCCCCCCCCCCCCCCCAATAATGCTTTGCTCCATTTCCTGGCCCAGACAATAAGTCTTTAACAGGATAACACTGTCTGGTGCAGCTCAGGATTATCAACTACCACTGCTCTCCCAAAACAATAAAAGTTCATCAGCCATCTATCTTAGGGTGGCTAACTATCACTTTCCTCCATCATAATCCTTCCACTTTCCAGAGTTCCACCTAGATTTTACCTCCCTTGTCCTGCTTAGATGACCCTATTCACTCCTTTTTGCCTTCTATGGGAAATTAAACTAATTCAAACGGTCTGGTTATATTTATCAGTATACTAAAGCAATGCATGTGTTCTGGATGGATACATGAAAGGATGCTAAGGGCCCATGGGATCTCACAAACCGCATTGTGCCGTTGCATGTTATACTAGCTAATTTGTTTTTAGCAAATGTTGCTCCAGTTATGTGAATCCCTTCAACCAAATCAGGACCTTACTGCACACACATCATGGTTGCTGGATTGGAAAAGATTATCAGCATTTATATACTTCCTATACCTTTTTTTATATTTAGATCTCCGTGGAAGAACTAGAGCATAGCATCAGTGTGAAAATAGCGAAAGAAGCAGTGATGAACATCAATAACCCAAGTCCTCTTTTCAAGCTTTCCAATGGCTTTTTGGACACAAAAGTTTACATTGCAGGAGTCCCTCGCAGAAGGGGCAACAGTCTCATTAAATTGGTAATTTTTGTAGCATTTGCTGGGGCATCATAGTGCAGTAAATTTATGTATAGCAATTAATGTTTGGATTTTTTTTTCTTTTAAAACTCATTGTTCTTATAGAGATATTATGTGTATGTTGTATAATATCAAGTTTAGGAATTCATTTTTAGAATAAAAATGTAATACTAAACTGCACCTACTATTTTTAGAATCTTGTTAATCTAATGTTCTCACTAAGTGTTGATTATAATTTCTTGAATTCTTGAATAGCATGATTATTTTACCTGAGAATCCAGGAAATCACTGCCAGAACACTTCTAGAGAATCCAGGACTATGAAAGGTTGAATGTGGTGAAATGCACACATGTACACACATATCTATACACATATATTAAATATACATACCTATTTGAGGATCAATTGCCTCCTAGATTCACATGACACCTATAAAATGATCTGATCCCCAAGCAGGATCAGAGTTCAAACAATGATGAAAAAAAACCCTAGCTTTTTTTCCCTTCATCATCATATTGTTTCATAACTTTCAACTCACAGGTATTGTCTGTTATTCCATGCATAAGTAGGACTGGAGTAATCTGTCCTGAAGAAATAAATTTGAAGAAGTATCCAATTAAGTGTTATAGCTTCTTAAAGGGTTCTTTTTTTTTTCTTTTACTAGCACTTGTAGTGAAATTACTAATACATTTTCATGAGCTAGAATAGTATTTGTCCTGCAGTAATTTGGAAGTAAATTATAGTTGAAAGAAGGACTGTCAGTTTTAAGCATTCTATGAGATAGCTGTAAAAAAGCAATACGGGTGTTTGTTATTAGAAAGAAAAAAGGAAAAAAGATGTCTCTTTATAAAGACACTACTATTCTAGAGAAGAAAACTATATGCTTCTTACTTCAATGAGGAAAATAAAGGGCAGAGTTGCTAGTAACATAATGAAATGGCAGAAAAGATTAATAATAGTTTAATCCTGCCTGAAGTAAGAGTATAAACATAAATAAGTTTGAATGTATTGCTTATGAGATTCTATTTTGAAAATGTAGCCACGTTGAAAATTCAAGGCTTATCTACTGAGCTATCTGCTTTGCAACATTTTTAACTTGATGATAATTCATTTTTCTTTTTTTCACACAAAAAATGGGCATTTACAACTTCTACAAAAGACAAAAAATTTATGTGCACATAAATTCTAACTTATCATTAGTTGGCTATTTGCCTGACATGCAGAAATCGCATCTAGCTTTCAGCAAAAAGAAATGTTTGATCCCAGCTGTCAGTTGTGTTTGCAAGTGTTACACTGAAAGTAATTCTTTATATCCCTTCCCTTGGAATCCAATCATGTATTGTCATATTCCAAATTTTTGTGGGACTCAGTTGTTCCTCAATGAACAAATGGTGTACATGGAAAATATTGAAACATGGCTTTATGGAATCCTAAACCAGGAAAACAAGTGACTCTTAGAATTATATCCCCAAAGGTTAGAATAAAACCTGATCTGCAAAAGAGATTGTTATATGTAATTTTAGATCATCAGAACTTTAAGCATATACTGACAGCTGTTATCACCTTAGTAAGTCATACTTCAAACTATATTTTAGTGTTGATGTCATAAAAACAACCAAAACTTAGGATTTCATTATATGAAAATAGAAAAACATTTGGTTATGGAAAGCTTTTTAACATTGCTTTGTGTTAGTATGCCACTGTTTAATAGATTAATGAGTTAGATTAAATCAATGAAAAATCTTTGAAAACAATTAAAAATGTAACCTGCTAGGGCACAGACTATTTATAATATGCATGTATAGTTACTGTAAAAAGTCCGTGCAAAACATCTGAAAGAAATGTTTCACAACTCTAAAAGCACAACACACTTCTTTAGCAAATGTTTTAAATATCCCAGATAGATAGCTTGCAAAATGGCTTACGAACTTTTTATCACAAGATTGGCTAGCTAAATTCCCCTGTTATTTCTTTGCCTACCTTGCGTAATTTTATGATGCAAGTATTTCCTTGTATATTTTCCACTTGTTCAATAACCCAAGTTACAATGGGGGATGAACAAAGAGTTCTTAACTACTTGTACTTGTGGCTATTTTAGCATCTCTGCGAATACATGATTATCATTTGGGTACTCAGCAAACATCTCACAATTATGACATTAGAGCATCCTGAAATCCCATGATCACCATTTGTGACTTCCATTGCCAGCTTCTGATAAGCAAAGTCACTAGGAAAGCAAGCAGAAGATCACAAATAGAAATCATGTAACAGGGACTGTGCAGGGTTTGCCGATTGACAGCAATTGGAACTGCAAGGGCTGCCATTGTAAATCAGTATGATCACATAATGTCACTCCTTATGATCTTTTTGCTTAGCTATGAAGTTCCTAATCCCAATTATCATTTGGTAATGACAACTGCCTGTATCTACAAAGAAAAAGACCTTTGCATGATTTTCTGCAAAGCTACTTAATTTGTTCTTCCCAAGAAACTATTCATCCACCTTCCGATAAATTCCTTGTCATCTTTTGTAGCTAATGAATACTAATTAAATTTTTGAAAGTTGTGAAAATGATGAACTAATAGAGTATGATTTGAAGAGAAAGAAATAAGTGCTAGCATAGAGATTTAAGTAGATTCCTAGTAATAGTAATCTGAACTACTGTAAAGTTATGTATATTTATACCTGTCTTGTCAATATTTTAAAATGCAAATGGTATCAACAAATCCAATGCAAATTCCAGTCTCAGATAATATTCCTGGAATGATGTAATCAGTTCTATAATATTTTTTTTTACAGATTAACCCCCGTTTGGATGGGTGTATTCGTGGTTGGAACTTGCTAAATCAAGGAACCTCTGGTGTAAAAGACTTAATTCAAGAGAAACAAAGCAAACATTGTTTAATAAATGTTGGAAAGGGATCTTACTACCCTGGCACTGGCATGGCAAAGTTTCACATTAGCTACAGTAAGCTTGCTTGTTTGACACAATTTCAATGCCATCCTCCAATCATAAACTCTGAATCGTATTGGTGCATGTTTATCTATAGGTGTGTCTATATATACATACATACTTATATAATCACAATAATAATATCATAAAACTGTTAAATATACAGTATTGCAAAACATGTCTCCCAAAATAAGCCTGATAAAGAGAGTTGTTTTTGCTTTCTTCTTAAATGTTAATAGGGAAGGTATCATTTTACATTGGGGCAAAGTATTCCATAAGGCTGGACCAATCATGGACCAGACAGTTTTTCTGATCCTTGCTCCCTTAGGTTCATTAACTGATTGTTTGACTTATCATGTACCACTGTTGACTCTTAGCAACCAGATAGACAGACCTTCTCTAGGATCCTTAGCTTTGTGATAGATATGTATCTATAACATGCCTTCTCCATTGAAATGTACAAAATGGGCAGATTCTATTTGGAACAGAACGTCCACAAAATAGCCAGAATCCATCATAAGCTTCATAGGTGACAGCACTTTGAATTTTACCAGGTAACATGGGTCTATAGGAGACCAAAGAAGTGGCTTTTGTTTGTTGAATTGGTTTTCTTTGTCAGTACTTGAACTGCAACATTTTGTTTCTGAATATTCTTCAAAGGCAGATCTAAACAGTAATCCAAACATAAGATGCTGTGCCTTGAAGTATCTGGGTCCAAGAATGATAACATCTGAAGGTGTTGTTTTTTGGTTTGTTTTTTTGCAAGATTTTGGAAGTAGCTTGTTATTGCCTGTTTCCTACAGGCAAGAGAGAATGACTGGCCCAAGATCACCCAATTCATAGCTATCTGGGGTTAGCTGTTTCACAGCTATCTGGGGTTACAAATCATAGGGTCCCAGTTTCTAGCTTGATAGTTTTATTACTAGCTGTTGCAAACTGACTGTTATAGCTGTATTGAAAATGGAGTCTTGCCTACAAGGTAGGTGTTTCAGCCCAAATATCCTTGTAAATCATAGCAGAAAAGGGCATTACAGAGGGTGATGAGCACAGCACAAAAAAATATGGGCTGTCCCCTGACACCACTGGACAAAATTGCCAGGATCTGCTGCCTCAGCAGAGTGAGGAAAATCCTCAGGGATGATTCATACCCTGGTCAGCACTTCTTTACTCTCCTACCATTGGGCAGGAGATATAGAAGCATAGCCAGCTGAACGAATAGGCTGAAAAATAGTTTTTATCCCTACGCTGTCAGACTTCTAAATGCAACAAAACACCACAATTAGGTTTAATATGATAGATTTGCAGGGCCAGCGCAACGTGCAAATGTTCATACCAGTGTAATATAATATAATGTCACATACATATAGGTATATGGGAATGAGTGTTAATTATTACTTATTTGGGTTTAGGAAGTCTATTTCATTTATGAGTTATTGAGATGTATTTTGGGGGGGTGGGCTGCACCAAGGGAGGCTCATTTCAATTTCATTGTACACATGTTGTGCATTGACAATAAACATTTTGATTTGAGAGGTATTTCAAAGCTATAGGCCTAAACTGTTGTCATGATCTATCTATCCAGGCTAATGGGTGAAAGCTGCTTATGATAGAGCACTCTTTTCTGCAAATATTGCAAATATATGAGCTGGCAAATATTTCAAGAGTTATATTGAATCTACTTACCAGTTTAAGGCAGAATAGAGAAATACATAAGGTTTCTCTTTTGGAAAAAAAAATCTTATAACAATGTTACAATACATTTTTAAAAAATATATGTTTCAGGAAAAAGTAAAATAATCTGTTTCAAAGGGTTTTTTGTATGTGGGAAATGTGAGAATAAATGATTATTTTTTAACTGGCTGACAACATTCCTTTCTCTTGCTTTCTGGTAAAACAGATAACAAATCAGGCAACGCAGATGATTGGTTAATAAATGTGACAATGGCTATCCGTCCATCCACAGACACTGGAGTAATGTTTGCCTTGGTTTCAGGTGAAACAGTTCCTCTTGCTTTGTCTATTGTGGATTCCAACTTAACAAATGTACAGGTACTTTTTTGCTCCCACCGTATGAATGCCTGATGGAGAAAATTAATCTAGGTATCTAGTACCTCCATGACACAGGGGAAAAATAACTAGGAAACTTTTCAGTCCTTTTGCTGTGACAATTTGATGCCACCAAGGTTCAGTAGAATTTTCCCTAGCTTAAGCCAGATAAGATATTGAGAGGTAATTATGTTTAGATGTATGTATAATTAGTTTGATTTTGACAAGCATAAATTTATCTTTTTCACCAACCCCAGGGAGATTGAGATAAATTTCTCATTCCCTCTCCTTAGTCACATCATTCAAAATGTCCATGGGGTAATTCCTTGTTTGAAATAAATCTGTGGATCTCTATAAGAAATCTTCTTCTGATGTATGTCTTTACTGTGCACAGTTTTCATGAAAAGATAATTAAAAGAAGCGGTGACTGCAGGATGGAGGTCAAAAAAGTTAAGATGACAGTTTCAGCAGCACAATTTGAAGTCCTGGCATTTATTTATTCATGTATCATATTTATATGGCCGTCCATCTTGTAAAATGTGACTGTATGCATGCATGCAACAAATTGGACAGGACTTTGATCTTTCTGCCATCTTGATATTTTAATAAAACCCTGAATGCTTCTGATTAAAAAAGTAAGCCATCTGCTGTAAGATGATATATATTTGTGGAAACATGGTTCTTCATGTCAAAAATTATTTTGTTTACATTTAGAAAATAGTTTGAAGAATGTTAGTGCTAAGCGTTAAAGCAGCAGATCAGGGCTGCAAAAATTGTAAATTTGTATTTAATTATTTCATATGATTTATTGAAATGCTACTAAGAAAGATAAGTTGATTTATTCAGCTATGAAACTTACATTCATTGAATTATTTTCACTAGTATTTAAATATTCATATTTCTAGTATTTGTTCTTTCACTTAATTGAAATGCATTTTCTGTATTATTTCGTGATGCTATTGTATTTATTATATAGGCTTTTAAAGCTTCTTTGGATATGGAAAAAAATGAAATACAAACTGAAATTGATTATCATCTTATTTTTTTTTCTGAATCCCAGGAAATCATTGTATCTATTCAGAATGTCATTGTTGCTCACTTAGAGTCAAGAAATTTATGTACCTCAAAAAGAGTGCAACTCAGACTCAAGATAAGTAGACAGCAGCTTGAACTTACAGCTGATTCATATTCAGTTATCACCTATTCAGAACATCATCTCTCTATCCTTGAACAAGCAATTAATAAATCTGTTGATACCTACCTAGGGGGCATTCCTGGTAAGTCTTGTTCTTAGTAACCTTCAGTAAATGCATATAGGATTACAGTCTTCTAGACATGTGAAGAAGACAGGCTTTAGACAAATCCACTCCAACATTCACCAACTTATGGTGGGATGAGTTTCCATGAAATTCTGAAAAAATACATAAAAATCAGCCTTGAAATTATAAAATTTCAGTTTTTCACCTAGACAATAAAGTTATTTAATTGTGTGCATAGTTCAGCATAGCCCTGAGAAAATCAGTTAAGAAATAGTAGAGTAAGGTGGTTCAACATATAAGGCATGGATTTCACATTTTGTGTTATGCAATTCTTAGTGGTTCTTATTAAAAGAAATTATTCCTTATACAACGTTTAAAAGTTTCTGTCAGTGGAAAGATGAACTAGTAATTATAATACATTATCAGAGAGTGAAGCTGCACTAACACATCCACATTTTGGGCTTTCTACAACCCATTTGTAGTGAATTTATCTAAAGAGAACAGCCTATTTGATTTCTTAGGTTGAATTTCTAAACTACCTAAGAAACATATCCATCTGCAGCATGATCTCCTTTATGGATACTATCTCAGATTTATGAGTAAGACTCAGTAATAACAATTCTATGCTTCTATCAAATCAGTAAGTATATTTTACCAATACGATTAACTATGAGAGTTAATCAGAAATATAGATTCCCTTTTTCTAATATCATGATGTGACATCAAGAATGTTTTGATACCAGTTTTATTACTGATAATAATTGTACTAAAATGATTACAAAATTATTTCAGAAATACTGAATTTGACTCACATATCAAATATGATTTTTCTTTAAACATTTTTATCCTGTTAATTTGTTTTTTAATGTGTGAATTACTATTAACTATTCTGTGTTTTATTCAGATGTTCCAGTTGAGGCAACTCCAGTTACAGTTTTTTACAGTGGCTGCATGGAGGTGAAAATTAATGATAGAGAGTTGGATTTGGATGAAGCCATTTCCAAACAGAATGACATTAGATCCCATTCTTGCCCACTACTGTTACAACGGAGACCTGAAGTCATGGATTTACCTTCTGATTTTTAAAATCTACAGGAAAACCCTGGTTGTTCTGCACAAAATGGATTGAACTGTAAATGCTGTTTTATTTCTGATAATCTGTTTTCTGAACATATACATTTCAAAAATATGTCCAACATGAATGGACAGAACCAAGGTTAACCTCTCATCAGGATAGCATTGCTGATGTCATTTCAAGATTTTAGTTTTTTAGTTATCATATTTTGTACTTTACATGTGTTTTGGAAAAATAAAAGCTGGAAACATCTTGTTGCACTTACTTTATATATTCTAGTTATAAAAATAGGATATTTCAGTTTTTCTAAAAAAAAACAGAATAAGATCCTTTGGTCCTTTGAAAAGGATAGGGTGGGTAGGGTAGGATAGGATAGGATATAAACTCTTGATGAATATCCATTTTCTTAATCTTGCAATAATGTTTCAAAGGTAATAATCAAACTGACAAAGAAAAAAGAGAACAAAGCATTTGTGAGAAAATTCAAACAAATATGGGTCTTAATTTATTATATTAAATGTATCTAATCTCAATCCTATAGACACTTTTAGTTACAGTAGCACTTGTTAAACAACTGCATTTCTGCTTACTGAAAAATATAAGCTACAGTTCAATTTTATAAAAAAATAATTACTACTGATAATTTTATAATTTATATTATTATTTACAGATAATTTTATATTATTTATTAAAAACAATACAAAGTAGAATAGGATGAATAGGATATATAAGATTGATTGGATTGATTGAAAATCTATATGGATATTTACAATTTCTTTTTATGAAACATCCCAGTACTGCAGTTACTGGGAAAAAATGTTTCTGCAAAATAGTTAAGTGTCACGTAAGATTTTGCTGACGAGAATTACAACCTTCTAATTTTATTATCTCACAGCATAGCATATACTTTTCTGGTTGAATAAACATATTTTGTCAAGTGAAAGGTTTATATCTGATTTAAAAAAAAGCACTGCACACAACTTGTGAATCTTAGTGGCTCAGAATTATTTCTACCTTAGAAATATCAGAGCATCTAAGATCATGATTTCAATATGATTTCCATTGGGTGATTGCAAATATTCTTACCGTTCTAGCTGTTTAGATAGTAACTGTTATTTTATCTACTTTCTACAGTCATAGATTCCTCTAAACAGCTGTCTGAACATTTGAAACCAAAGATAATTCACTGTTACAAAGTGGGGTAAAACTATTTTAAAAATCTCTAAATGTTTCCAGCTGTCAATTTCACCTGTGAACAAGTATAAAATATGAATGTTTCACGGAATTATTGCAATCAAGGAATGATTCAGAAGGCTGAGAAAAAAAATACATTCTAGGATTGCCTGGAAATACTGTAGGTTATATATATAAAAACAGAATCCACAGATAACTGCACGTGACCAGCTGATTGCCTAGATTTGCAAAAGGAAATCTTTTTCTTTGAGTTCATCACAAGTCATTGTCTAAAACATGTAAAAGAAACTATTGATAAGCCTGAAATATTTTGGAATAAACTACTTCATACCAATGAATCAAAACCTGAACTCATAAGTTTAATATATTGGGGGGGGGGGGACGGGGACAAAAGGCTCTTTATTGAACGACTGTCAACTGTTAAAACTGAGGACAACTCTCTTGTGCTTTTGCCATGCAATTTGGCACATGCTTAAATATAACTTCTTTTCTCCAGTGGTGACTTCTGAAGTAATGTATTGCAATCCATTAATCTTAAAGGGCATTCTTCAAACCTACTAACACTCTAATCCAAATATATATATGACTAGTTGTCAAGAAGTCTTAGTATTAGAGATAACATTATTTCTGAAAAGTCAACTAATGATTATTTAAGAACATGAAAAAGGTAATACGGAGATTCAAGAAATAATACATTAAGACACTTGTCTTCATCTAACTGGCATGACTTGCAAAAGGTTCTTTGTTAAATTGTAACTGGATGATTTACAAGTTGTTACTCATCTTCCAAGAGAATGCTGAAGAGACATACATGATTGCCTGTGCAGATGGCTCTATCTACCAGTTCATATTTCCTAGACTCTCACACCAAATTTATATCTAATGCAACATATCTTAGTAAATATTACTAGTCCATATTATGAATGGTAAGACTTTATACCATATTATTTTCAGCTGAACCTTAAAAGTGCAAAATATTAATAAGGAACATTAGTAAATAAATATTACCTGAGGTTCTGCATCCTTTGGTGATGATTTGGGGGAAAAAAGTGGTGCAGTGCCTCTGTTCTGGTCACTAAATGGCCTTTCCTTCCTTTTTTCAGCATTCTGCTACTTCATCATTATTTTAAGCTCAAAAGGTTTAAAATGGAAGGTTCAAAAACAATGTCATGCTTTAATGAATACAGATCAGTACACTACTGACACAAGAACTGAAGGACTTTCTAATTTCATTTTAATATATATAGATACAATATCAACTAAATGTTGGATGTTTGCTAATTTAGTAAGTGCATTTTTCCCTTTATAGAATCTGGAAAAACAAAGCAATACATTCCTTCATTCTTAATTGTTTTACAGAATATCTTAGATGTATATTCAGGTGTGGTACCCAATTTATCTTCTACATTTGCTTCTATCTCAGACAGAATCATATATGAAAGTTAAGTTAGCAAGATTCAATGAGGATGTCAGAAATAATATACTAAAGCCTGCCTTATACTTTATTGAGTTTTCTTCTACTTTATTCTCACAGTACTTGAAAATTTTTCTTGGTGATGTTTTGAACTTTAACTAACTGATCCTGACAGATCTCAAAAAATCTATGCAGTGCTATGCAGTGCTACTGCTTTGATGAGCAATACCGGAAAGTCATGAAGCTATAGGTTAAGTTGAGACTTTGAAAAACCATCCTGAGATAGAATAGTAAATCATTTCCATACTGCTGCTAAAAAAATAAGCATGCTTCTCTTGTTATCGGCTTTTTCACACTTCTAAGGATCTTCTAGTGGTCTGCACTCATCACTTTGAACGGACCCATGGACTTTTCTAACAATATCTCTTTGAGGATTTAATTGGAGCATGGGAAACCAGCAAAACTGCAGCCCTGTAGACAGGATACTCACAAGTAAACATAGTCCTGAGCTAATTCTTAACTGATAAGTGGAAATATATAACCCTCCAGCCATGAAACATTTACTCAAATTCTCAAATTTGGGATAAAAAATGACACTTTTTCAAGAGTTCATGGAGCAGGATTCAATGCCATTTGTTGAAATAGACTGGAATAGTGATGTCACTTTGACAGGAAAGCTATATAAGTGTAAACCAGCTGCTAAAATTCTAACTTGATTATCATCAGGGATTTTTTTGAAAAAAATAGTTCTGCTTTGAACTTTTCCCAATACACAACTGAGAGATATAAATCAAACCCCATGCAGTTTACAAGACAGGAACAGAACAGCTGCTAAATAACTTTTAACATCTTACTTCTACTATGAGACAAATTACTTGATATAAGTTTTCATGTGTCAATCTCGGTACAAGTGGACATTCCATTTTCAGTATATAGTCTAGTTGGTTTTCAATGCCATTTATAAGGATGAGAGAAATACTTCTATCTTTTGTTCTTAATTATATAGTTTATCCTTTGAACTCGTCTACCATATTGAGTTTGGTTCTAGGATGGCTGGGACATAATTCAAATAAACTTTTTGAAGTGGAATTGTTCCAATCAATTTATTTATTTTTTATTTCAAAGGTTGAATTCCACACAAAATTACTTTGGCATAAGATTCTTTGAGTTTAGTCCCAGGACTTTGAAATAAACATGAACACGATCAAGATTTGCATTTTTTATAATTTACTTAGGAAAAATATATCAGATATTTTGAGACATGGTTGACAAATATGATTTGCCTAAAATACAGAATATTCTCACAGATGCAATTAATTTCTCCCTTTGAAATGAATGAAAGCAGGACATTTTAAAGAATAGAGTACTCTTTCTCTATTCTCAAAAAGATGCCACCAACTTCCACTACCACACACCACACAGATACTACCTTTTTAATGTAGGCTTCATTAATGCATTTTTTTCATTGTTTTGATCCCTTGAAGTTAGTAGCCTACAATGCCTACAATGAAAAAAACATGAAATGCTGAAGCAATGGCATCAAGATTTAAATAAGCTTTGCAGACATGAATGAAAACCATTTATTCCTGATTATTTCAAATATTGAACTATATTTCAGATTGATGTTTTGATCATGTGAAAAGGACCCAATCTCTCTTTAAAAATGACCCCTGAGATAATGATTTTATTATTATTTTAACATATGGATTATCTATGGCTTTATGTTTCAGGGTGGTCACCATAACTTTGGATGGACAGATAGAAGCTAAGAAAGTCAAGAGTAGCAGTTCAACCCAGAATTCATTACATACTTTTTATCCTTACCCAATCACTAGAATCATATGCACTATTCACAATTATAGGCAAAGCTCTTTAAAAAAAAAACCTCTAAAAATTAAATTGTTCAGAAGCAAATAACAAATGTGGTCATCAGCACTGAAACAGTTATAATGAAGAAGGAAACAGAAAGTTTTTGGGTTGAGGAAGAAACACTTGTGGAAGTTCATTCCTCAAAATATCTTAATCTTGGAGAAAAACTTCTTGAAAGAAAAGCAATTTAGAAATGGAGCCATTTCTCTAAAATAGAATTCTCTCACACAATATTCTGGGCAGCTAGTTGAATTAGATGATCCCTTTCTACCATGTGGTTTATGAAGAGTTCTGGTACCTCTCTTTTAGTTGAAATGAACTATAGATACGTTGAGGAAAGTGAAGTCCCACTTCTAATATTGTTTAACAAATTGTCTCAATTACTGTTGGATTGGCCTCAGAAGATAAAATTGCACACAAAAATATTAAGAGCACCATTCACCATTCACTGTTCACTTACTGTCTTCATCTGGTTCCTTCTTAACAGGCATGAATAGAATACAGTGTAAACCTTCTGGGATAAGCATTTTGCCTTAGAGGAGAAAGACATAATGTTTGGTATGTGTTTGTTCGTTTGTTTTTGGAAAAAAGTTTCCATTATCTCTAAATAGCATGCCGAT